GATTACAGGATTTGAAGGAGTGGTCTTCTCCAATGCAGTTGAGGCACTTGCCCTTGTACAGTCGAAGCGCGTTGCGGCGCTCTTCAGCCGAGACCAAGGGGGTGAACAATGGCGGATCATTCTTGGCTAGAGCCATCTCACTAGCGACGTTGTACACCGCTTGGAAGTGTCCTTGCAACGGCCAGTCGCTGTAGTGCAACAGAAAAGGGTCCCAATCATCATTAGGTAGGGGGTCAACACCCATCACGGCGGTCGAAGAACCTTGGCTCCACGAAGGGGTAACCGTCGAAACGCAACGCCGAAGAAGCTACTGCACGCGAAACAGCAGAGGAACTCCTAGCATTCGTGGAAGATACCGAAAAAAAAACATCTCCATGCACCGCCGGCGTGTGCGCGAACGCACGCTTGTCCAACACATCCCACATATCATCCAGACACGAAGCATGTCGCCCAAAAGGGGCTTCCATGGAGAGCTGCTCATCCTTGTACACCTGCCCAGACACTACCGGAAACTGCTTCAACATGCAGTCTCGAACAGCTATCTGCACTTGCGCATCCGAAGGTTTGAACGCGTGGTGGGAAACCATGACGGTCATGGCCAGAGCCTTATAGCGACGAATGTATTCTCCATAAGTCTCGCCGTCAGATACGCCAAAACTGCGAAGACGATCAATCCCCGAGCTCTTGTCTTAAGTGTTTCAGGTGGCCGCCAATTTCTCGATGAAGAAGGCGTACGTCGAGGGCCCTGCCGGTTCCTTGCGCAGATGGTTTTCTACCTGTAGGAAGGTGGCCTCAAGAAACTCCAGCGTGGCACGGTTGGTGGTTTGGCCTTCAACGACAGCACCATGGACACGTTTGCGCAACAACGGAAGCCATCCGGTGACCCAGGTGGAGGAATTGAAAGTCTGCTTGCGCTTGACGTCGCTTTTGTTGAGGATCTCTGTGACCACACCCTTGCAGCTAGACGCGAAGCGAGCAAATTCATCAGGATCAGGACCGAGGGGCAAGCGTGTGACACNGTCTCCGTAAGTCTCGCCGTTGGATACGCCAAAACTGTGAAGACGATCAATCCCCGAGCTCTTGTCTTGAGTGTCCCAGGCGGCCGCCAATTTCTGGATGAAGAAGGCGTACGTCGAGGGCCCTGCCGATTCCTTGCGCAGATGGTTTTCTACCTGTAGGAAGGTGGCATCAAGAAATTCCAGAGTGGCACGGTTGGTGGTTTGGCCTTCAACGACAGCAGCACGGACACGTTTGCGCAACAACGGAAGCCATCCGGTGACCCAGGTGGAGGAATTGAAAGTCTGCTTGCGCTTGACGTCGCTTTTGTTGAGGATCTCTGTGACCACACCCTTGCAGCTAGACGCGAAGCGAGCAAATTCATCAGGATCAGGACCGAGGGGCAAGCGTGTGACACTATCAAGTTGTTCCGGCTTCAGCTTGTCTTGAATGCGGATAGTGTCGGCCTCCGCTGCAGAGGCGTCCGCAGCGTTCAGAGCCTCCTGCCTCGCTCTCGCTCCCGTGGACGACAAAGGCAAACCAGCATCGTCCTGTGGCAACGGTGATGCCGCTTGACCCGGTGACTCGACGATGTGGCCGGTTGCAGAGTTAGGATCAATCGGAACAGACGCACGCTGGAGGGGAGGGGGCGATACCACCAATGGCTGTTGCAACAGGGCTGGGGCTGTCGACGCTGACGGT